CGAGTACAAATGCGAGTTTCATCCTTTTAAAATAGAAATGCTACAAAATGAACAAGTTTCAAAATTTCGAAAACCATGGGAGAAATTCGCAAAAACAAATTGCTTGTTTTATTCAATAGATTCAATCTCGAATTTGCCTACCGAATCTTATAATATTTAGATTGTACATCGATCAGTTTCTATTAAAATCATCCATCCAATTTGATTTATTCCTCGGTGTCGAATGAACACACTGGGTGAAAGAGATAAATAGCTAAATTCTTTTATCAACAGCAAATAGACCGAAATTTCTATTCAAATTGCTCTCAATTTTATATCGTTGTCTCACGCGCTTGACGATAAAAGCAAATCTTTTTTTTTCGGAGTGCACTATGAAAATAATTACGAGGATTGAACCGCAGAGGATTGAGGAAACGCAGTTTGAAAATTTGCGAAAAACGGAAGTGGAGTAGAAAACGTCGTTGAACCCAAGGAAGAGAGCGAAGATCGTTGCCGTAAGATCGTAGACGAAACTACCAAGATGCAGAGAGACCGTTAGAGTTAACGATGAGTTCGCTTCTCTTTCTCTCTCCTCCCTCTTCGCAATTCTACGAGTGGATATATCCGCGATACCACGGTAGCTCGCGGAGGCGGTTAACAAGATGAACGATCCTCCTCTAGAAATGACGACAATCACAACGGGGAAACGCGATTGCATAATTTACTCTGGATTTCGTGATACGTGAAGCTTACGCTGCATGCGCGTTAAACGATCCCACGTAAAAGCAAGGGAATTAAGGCAGATGATGCTGACTGAAAGAAGATCTCAATCTTGTCGAACCTAAACCATCTATCACGGAAATAAATTTTTTTTTTTAAACTTTCCAGTGGTATCTTTATTTCTAATTGGAAGGATCTTAAAATGTCGTTCATCGAAGACGTATAATTAAATCACACGTCCCAAAAAGTGAAATTTCTCAATTTTCTAAAATTAATAAACCAGTCAAGAATAAGAAGAAGATTTAAGAAAAATTGGCCACGTGGTTAAATATGTTATTTATTATTCTGCAGAGCGGAGAAGATTGCGAAGCAAAAAGTGGAGAAAAGAAAAAGTGAAAATTCGATGAAATGCAGCTTCGTTCTCCGAGAAGAACTGTTATCGTCCATAGATCTCCGGGGAGAGGATTCTAGCGTTCGTTTCTCGCAGTTATAACGCGAACTTCGAAGACCGATGTATTCCTCTTTGAGATTTACGGTACGAGACGGAAACAAGCACGTGATAAAGCGGATAAAAAGGCATCGCTCGTGATGTAGTTCGTTTCTTGGTTGGACTCGAAACGAGCAAATTGTAGAGTCGAGGATAAATCTCGATGAGATTTCACACCCTCCGGCACGCTCGAACACGCGACGTGAAAAGTATATTTTCTAGCCGCGAATCTTTCTTGCTCTTCGCAAACTTTTACGCGAATAATCCTCGAGACTCGTACAGTAAAGTAAGTTCTAAATTTTCTTTTCATTTGCTTTCAAATTCTTTCGTAAGAAAAGATGTAGTTGAAGACTTGAAGCACTCAAAGTGGTCTAGCCCTTTAACAGAATAAATAAAACGCGAATCGATGTATACTCTCAACTCAACGTATCTATCTTGATGGATAACTATTGTATTTTAATAATAATTTGATGTAACAGTAAGTTAATAGCGATTTATCCATTCAGGTTATTAAAATTTAGAGTATTTAGAATATTTGAAATACTATAATTTAGGATGATTACATCTTGTGACAGAAGTTTCTAA